GGAAATTGTTACCCTGCTCATATTGTCGTGCATCCTGAATATAAGATGGTGCAAGTTTCAGCTTGTAGGTGCCTACCATCAGTTCACTGAAATATTCTGGGTTAAGGCGAGGAAAGTCGGGCACATGGTAGTCTTCTAAATTAACAAAAATGCCATGACGTTGCAGTAAGTGTTCATTTTGTATTCTTATTTGTAAAGTACTTTCTTCACTTGATTTTTGTAGTAATACTTCTGCTAGTTCAACATTTGCTCCTTACATTAATATAGGTTCCCGATATTTATTTATTATTGCCCCGCAGATAAGATAAAAGTCTTTTAAATGTACAGCATGGTTCATTTTAATAACGTTAGCAAAAAATTTGAAAATTGACTTAAAATTACCATTTCGAGACTCCACAATCCACCTAGTTTTAGTAATTATACAATTTTGGTTAACTTCTTCAATGAAAAGCTGTCTTTCTCCAGGTCTAACACTACTAGGTATAAGATAATCAATACCCAGTTCTTGGGTAAAGGAATCGCATCTCAATAGCCTCTACCAACAATGAACAAATCGTATTCCTGAAACCACTCTCTTATCCCTCGAATATCTCGTTGAAACTCATTGGTTAACATAGCTGCGTCGTTATTTCTTGCATCGGAGAAATAGGGTTCATGAATATCCAGAATATATCCATCGGGCGCTACCAAAAGGGCTGGTTTTATGAGATGGTATCCTTTGTGGACACAGGAAGACTGCCGCAGAGCCTAAAATAATTTACCTACCCTGTGAAAAAATCATTTAAATGATATTATTGTCCTTCATCCTTCATATTATTCTTGAAGTGAAACTTGTTTTGGCACAGTGTGAATTGAATTGTATGCAACGCTCAGTTATGTAACATGTAACGACAATGAAACTACAAGAAAATGTAAATTGTGAAATAAAGTGTGGAGCAACTCGGAGAAAGTGAGGCAAATGAGGAAATATGAGAGGAAGTAGAAAAAAATAATGGGGAAATGGAAGGAAAGTGGGTGAAATGGAAAATGATGAGTATGAAAGTGCATGGTGGAAGTGAATGAAAACATACCACCCTTATTATCTTGGAGTTGAAAAATCAACTATAATTTAAAATGGGATGAGTTTTTCGCAAAATTCTGGGGGCTGGGGGAGCCCCAGAGCCTCCCCCTAGAAAATCTTAAATCAAAAAAGGGGTGGTAAGTGGTAAGTTTTAAAATGAACACCCTGTATAATATATTACTGAAATAATAAATCATACATAATACGGCAGTGATATAAAGGTACCTACCACATAAAAATATGTAGATACCTACTTTGTGGCATTATCTAAAAAACCCTCTTATATTTTGAAATGATTATTATTTTCCAGGGTAGCTAGAACGTTTGTACTTAACTTTTTTTGATACTTTAAATAATCAAAAGTTATAAAGTGGAGCAGTACAATATTTCCCAAACTGAATATTTTACATTTTTGTTTTAGCACTACAGAAAATTACGTGACTAAATCACTAACTCAAAATTAATAGGCCATAACTTTTGAATGGCTCTGTATTAAACCAAAAGATTTTAATTTATGTATAGAGTATGTATTTAAATAGGTACTCTTTGTACCATCGTCACCAAAAGTATCTGGGACAAAAATAATTTATATTAATCTCCTGGACTAATTCTACCTGCATTTAAATGATAGTTTGACACTAAAATTCATATAATAGTTCAAGAGCTAATATGATGCTGTCCCAGTTACTTTTGGTGACGATGGTACCTACAAACCAAACCACTGCAAATGTCTAATAAAGGATGAGGGATGAGCTTATGTATTTTTAAAAATATCCCATAAGATATAATCAAATGAAGGTACCAATAAAAAGTGTCCACCCTGTACATTTGTAACAGTTTCAGTCTAACGGTTACATGTAAGTATATTCTAAACAATTATGTCTAATAATTAGGCCTTAGAATAGTTTGTTTTTGTGTTTTAAAGTAAATTTTTCAAGGCGATAACGCTTGCAATCGGACTCTTATTCGCACGCTTATGGACGGCCCTAGCTCCGAAACGGCTCGTGGACCCCCCAATTTTTTTGCCAAAATTCTATCTACATACATAGAACTAGGTACAACATATAAACAATTCAGACATTTTGACCGAAATCTAATTTCAATGGTCCAAGTGCGGGGTCCTTTCCCTTCTCTAACAACAAAACGGTTGAAGATATCAAGATGCGGTTTGCAGTGTTTGCACCAATCAAAAATTTTTGAAATTTGGGCTTCAGAGTATGGAGTTAATTTTTTTGTATCTCGCTCAGAAATTGACGTTCCCTATTAGAAGTGTCCAAATTGGACCACCATGTACTTTTTTCAACATACAAGTAAAGTCAAAATAAATGTCCAAAAAAACATTGTTGATAATTCTAAACCTGCGCCCCCCTGAAGAAAATTCTGGATCCGCCACTGGTTACAGAAGTTGTACTCCTTTCACGCCTAGGAGGAGCTCTGGAACAGCTCGGGGCGTACGCGATTATTCCTTTCGGAAAATGTCCGTTGCACCACGCATCTCTGTTCCTTTCAAATCGGGGGCAAATAACACCGGAGCGAGTAGCTCGAGTGTTTAAAACTCTTCAAAGGAATACAACTAAAATACATTAAGGATTTTTTAGCGACTAACCGTTTGTAACCGTGTTATAAACGGTAACTGAAAATCTCTAACCGTTGAAATTTTAGCGAGGCAGCGGTAATAGGGGAAGATCCGTGCGTTCGGTATTTTGATCTAAGTTCTCCGAGCATAAAGGACCCCATTTCTTATGGAAAAGTGATCTATGTGGAATTTGGCTGAATTTTTGATATTGTGTAGAGGCAGTCGTCCTTAACAAAAGTTAACATTGCGCTAATGTTTTATACCGAACAGTTTTTAAGATATCAATTAAAAACTTTTTTAATATAATACTCTTAAGTATGACGTCACCAATATGCTCGCAGCCCCGAAAATGATTACTATCCTTTCCACTTTCGACTTTGACTATACTCTTCTCGTTTTAACATTATGAAATAAAAAAAAAACAACAACAGGTACAATAATGAAATCGGTACATATACCGATTTCATAACTGACATTGACATGACGTTGACGATTGCGGCAGGGCAGGAGCTAGGTGTTGTTTACCCATCAGGATAATACACAATACACTTGTTTACCTACTTATTTGTCACTAATCGCTATGTTTATCTTCTTCTATTTCTCAAAGTTAAAAGGAGAAGATTATAGTCAAAGCAAAAGTGGAAAGGATAGTAATTATCTTCGGCGCTGTGAGCGTACAGGTGACGTCATACGGAAGAGTATTATATTGAAAAAGTTTTTAATTGATATCTTAAAAACTGTTCGCTATCAAACATTAGCGCAATGATAACTTTTGTCAAGCAGGACTCCCTCTATACAATATCAAAAATTCAGCAAAATTCCACATAGATCACTTTTCCATAAGAAATGTGCGGGGTCCTTTACCGTTCGTTTATTTGAAAAGTGTATTCGGTGCAGGCTCATTCACGTTCGTTTATTAAAATTTCAAGACCTCTGCTCTGATCCAGCGTTTAACTGCTGTGTGCGCTCGTCGGTCACGTGGTTACGGCTCCGCTCTGCACGCTCTGCTCTTTGAGCAAAATACCGAACGCAAGGTATGACGTCAATAAAGGAAGTCAATGACGTCACGCATTTATAACACGGTATTAAATTCAGTAACCTATGTAGGACCCTGATTTACTGGCGGTTATAGAAAATTTAACAGTTCTAAAATCGAACTGTCAAATATTCTTCAAATATGGGCGTTTGGGTTTGTTTACCTTACTCCAACGTTAAACCCGAAAATTAGAAAATATTATTGCGGGACGTGGACGTGGGTTTCTGGTTGTTAGTTTGAACGTAAAAGGTAAAAAAAAAACGCTCAGTAAGGTAGAGCGTGTAATATCCACTTAATATCCGATCTATCCGATCCATTCCTTGAAAATCCGGGGGACCAGCATGGCAGAAAATATTGAAATTTTAACTGAAGTAACTTTAAACAATGAAGGGGAGAATTACCTACGCCGTCTTTGTTCCCTTGGACCTAGCGAATATATTTCTTAATGGTAAAAACAATATGTGAAATTGTTGCATTTGATAGGTGCCTAGCGTACATTTTTAAGTTTTCAATTTCAATTTATGTGTGTTGATCATTGTATTGATAATCCCGCCATATGTTTTTTGCTTATTGTGTGCTTGCCTTTTGGCGGACATTTTAACTTAAAGGGGGTGTGCGCCGAAAATTAAAGTTTTAGTGTAAAAAAATCTAAGAATAACTGTTCAATCCTCGTTATTCTACGATAAACCATCGCTGAGATATACCGCTTTAAAGTGTGGACGACGCTCTCGTGACGTCACGAAAACTTCGTCCAGCGGCGCTCTGCATTGTTAATTTGATTGTTCCCGGCACGCGTGAGTGGTTTTTGTTTAGATTATTGCAGGTAACACAGGAAAAACATTATGTAAATTTAATTAAATCCACTTTCTCGTGCGTCGCTTGAGCTTTCGTGACGTCATAGGGTGAGATGCGGTACCTTCATAGAGCCATATCTGCGGTATTATTTGTCATAGAGGGGTGCGGCTTTCACTGTTTCTTAGATTTTTTTTCTCTTTTTTTTTGAGATGAAGTTGTTTGACAGCTTCTTGGATAGTCTAGCCCGTCTAGCCCAACTTTATTACGTGGGGGTAATTTTGACACAGCACCAGTGGTGAGGGTAATAACCGTACGGTTAAAGCTCGTGATAACACGGTAACAAACGGTTACTCGCTAAAAAATCCTTATTATATTTGTGAAAAAAACACAAGTCGTGGTCTCAAAATTTTAATATCAAGGTTACATGTTTCGCCCAATAATGTGAATAATGGGTATCGCCGGTATCGGTAACATCATCAGACTTCACAGTTACCGCACAATCTGAGAAATCACGAACGGATCGAACGCGGGGCGAAAAGTTTGGCACCAGTCTCCCAACAAGATACAAAAACTTGCACTAAAACGGCTAATCGTGCTCCAATAGTGCACTGGAGCCGCACCAGTTCAGCCAACGGAATTCGCTATTCGAGTTTTCTTGTCGGGTTGTCGTAGTGTTATGTATATCTCGTATCTCACTCAATCACAATAAAAATTTCTATAGGAACGAGAGAGCTAGAAAAACCTCCTATGATCATGATTATAAAGGTAGAAGCGGTAATTTAACCTCAAAATTTTTCTAAAAAGTCAAAAAGGTGTATGTTATGTTTATGTTTTCTTAAAATTGTCCCTGAAACTGCTCAAAAATGACTGCGAACAATAAGTTTCATTTGTACGTATATGAAGGTGACTACGGTCTGCCGTCGTTAAATGTAGAATGCACAAAATGCCTCCTTTACATGTCAATGTCCAAAGTTCCTGTTCAAGTGAAGACACTGGGAAACATGAAACACTGTCTGCTCTATAGTGCCCCATATTTTGTACACAAAAACGTATCATTCAAGACCTACGCCGAGACAGTATTGTATTTGAACACTTTAAATTATAACCTGGATGCTCAGCTTACAGCAAAGCAGAAGAGTGAAGCCTTGGCTCTCAGCTACTTAGTCCAATCAAAACTTAGGGCTACTTTGGAGTACGTGTTTTGGATAGACCAGAGAAACTTTGAAGAATTTACTCGGGTGTGGTATGCAAGAGCTCTGCCACTTCCCTTCAATATTATTCAAACAAAAAAGTTTAAAGAAAATGCTGTTGACCTAATTGATAGCTTATACCACAAAGACAGTACCATAGAAGTGATTAAAGACAATCTCAATGTTTTAGCCACAGAGTGCCTTTCTTCTTTATCTGCACGTCTAGGGACATCCAATTATTTTTTTGGAGAGGAGCCTACTTCATTGGATGTAGTCATTTATAGCTACCTAGCGCCTTTGCTAAAACTCCCATTTCCATCAAACTCTATCAGCACTTTAGTAGCCTTATGGCCAAATTTAGTACAATTCGTTAGCAGAATTGATGCGAAGTATTTACCGGGACTGCCAAAAGAGTCAAAATATATAAAAAATGAAGAGAAAATGAAGACTAGTGACGATGAAGTTTCTTATATCGCAATTTCAATACTGACTTTCAGTGCAATGACTCTAGCTTTTGGGTTTGCAGTTAGTAAGGGGTTTATATCTTCAAAATTGTTTTAACAGAGTGTGTGAAATAGAGTTTGTACTTAGTAGGTAACTGTTGTTTGGTAATGCATTTATTCTAATTACCTCAACAATCAAATTTTTAGTGGCTTTTTGTTTTATTTTATTTTGTAAATTTCAATAAAATTATCTGCTTTCTGATAAGGTAATTTGTGTTTTACTTAGGTTTTCTAATACCAACAAAAAGGGGTTTTGAGTAAACCAAAAACTGAGCCAAAAACCTTGTAAATCAATGACAAATTCCTAATACAAAAAAGAGGAACTAGTAACAAAGATTCATTACAGCAGGTAAGTTAAGCTATTCATTAACACTGCACTTGGTCCCTGATTTTTTGAGTCAATTGCTTGCTTAGGACACTACAGTCTCTACTAGACAAGTAAACTTCTTTATGCTTACTATGCTTATTAATATACATATTAACTTATGCCTCGACTTATGAAGGTAATTTGAAATTAGCATAACAGAGAGCTCAGCTTTTGCTAGCCCCAGTGCTATTGGTCAGGTACGATACCTTAGGCTAGGAGATACCTAAATTAGGCTTTCCAATCACATTATCACTTTATGTATCAAACAGGAGCCTGAGAAGTAGCACCAAGAATGGTACAAGCCAAAACTGCTCTGCTATGTTAACTACGAGGTTAACTATTATTAAATATTGTCTTATGCATGGGATGCTGGGATGCATGATCCTTGATTTATTATGTTATATGTATAGGGTGTCTGGAAATAAATACAACCAAATTTGTTCAAAGATTCTTGAAAAAAAAAAAAAAATAGGTGAACAGCTCGGTGACCAGTATTCCAGAACCAGAACGTGTTTCAATGTGGATTGAACTGAAGCATATTTTTTTATTTTTCTCGAGCTTTTTCATGTGTTTTATTTTTCGGTAAAAATTAAAAATTATATTATTTATTATTATATTCTAAAAAAATATTAAAAATTAAAACAAGAAACTTAGGAAGTGTACAGGGTGTTTCAAATAGGAGCCATATCATTGGGATCTTGGAAACGGTGAAAGATACAGGGTTAGTTAAATTGGGGCAAAGTTGCGTAATTTGATGCTCAACAAAATGCCACTTTGAAATTTAGGATATTCCGAATACTTCCGGAGATAACCGGAAAAAACCGAAATTTTGCAAAATTGTTTTTATTTTTTCTTGACTTTATTTAAAGTGATATTTAAAGAAAAAAAATGACACTTCATCGTAGCCACTTTTTCTCCCCTACAAGATGATACCATAAAATTTGAAATCTGATGTTTCGTCTTTGGGCCACCCGAGGGGCCACCCACCATCATCAACTTCATCATTTTACATACGGACCCCTATTTTTAATTTTATATTTTATAACTAGGTTTATAAGATGCTGATGTCCCAAAACCGATGAGGTAAGTATTGCACTTATTCGAAAAATTTACATTATTGGCACTTTCCATAAGAACTAAATGTGTTAGAAAATTTTGGTAGGAAATTACTGAGAAATAAAATTTAAAAAAATTCGAATAAATGCAATACGTCTTAGGTTTTGGGACATCAGAAGCTGTTTGAATCTGAAATAAAAACTCCAGGGTCATATTTAAAAAAAAAATATTGATGATGGTGACCCAAAGACGAAACGTCAGATTTTAAATTTGATGGTAGCATCTTAGGGGAGAAAAAGTGGCTATGATAAAGTGATATTTTTTTTTTGAAATATCACTTCAAATAAAGTCAGGAAAAAATAGAAACAATTTTGCGAAATTTCGGGTATTTCCGGATATCTCCGGAAGTATTCGGAATGTCATAAATATCAAAGCGGCATTTTGTTAAGCATCAAATTACGCAACTTTACCCTAATTTAACCAACCCTATATGTTTCACCGTTTCCGAGATCCCAATGATGTGGCTCAAGTTTGAATCATCCTGTACAGGGTGATCTATTATAAATGTCACCCCTTCTAACTTTTTTATTTGACATTTTTGACAGAAGTGTCAAATACAAAAGTTTCAAGAAATTGTCGAAAGTTTTTAACTGAGTCAGTTTTAGGCATACAGGGTGCGTCAAAAAAGTGCAGCAGTGTGAAGTTATATTTTTTTAAATGGAACACCCTGTATATTGTGCGCTTATTTGTTAGTCCCTTTCAACTTGATTTCAACGATATATGGTTTGATACGTCTATCTTCAATAGTTATAAAGGAAAACATGAAAACCCCTTTCAAGTTTTCATATTGAAAAAAGAAATATCATGCCATTAAAGCTTTAGAGAATTTTTTTTAAACAGTTTATTGTTCAAATTCTATTCAATAATATACATGGGGAAATATTATAATAAATCTAAATGTCTAAGTTATTTCTAATACCTATTTAAAAAAAAAAAAAATAACAGGAGAGATCTGAAGGGATTTTCGCGTTTTTCCCTTTAACTATTGGAGATAAACCGAGAGATAAACATATCAAACCCTATATCGTTGAAATCAGGTTGAAGGGGACTATAATAAATAAGCGCACAATATACAGGCTGTTCCGTTTAATAGTTATTTATAGGTACACCAAGTGAGTTAAATTAATGTTTATTCATGAGAAGAAAGTTTAACCCACGAGCCCTAGCGAGTGAGTTAATTTCCTTCGAATGAATAAACATTTTAACTCACGTGATGTATACAAAATTTTATCCCATTTTGTGGAAATTTAAAAAATAAAGTACAAGGAAAAATTCCGGGAGTGAGTTAAAAATATTTTAAATCACTGAGGTTTCAGATTTTTAGTTGGGCAGAATGATTTAAAATGCCGAGAGTGAGTTAAAATGTTTTTAAATCACTGAGGTGATAAACGTCTACTTACCTTTATTGTTATGCGTTCAATAATGTCATTTTTAAACGTCAAAATGGGATAAAAAAATATAACTTCACGCTGCTGCACTTTTTTGACGCACCCTGTATGCCTAAAACGGACAGCTGAAAACTTTTGACAATTTCTTAAAACTTTTGTATTTGACACTTTTGTCAAAAACGTCAAATGAAAAAGTTAGCAGGGGGTGACAATTATAATAGATCACCCTGTACAGGGTGTCCCAAATTCGAGGGCCAACATGAGGTGTTTGTTAACCGTTAAAGATACGAGAGTGGTTAAATAGGACAAAAGTTGCCCATTTATGTGCATAACAATTTTCTGGTAAGAAATTGAAGAAAAATATACATATTTCAGGTTTTTGAGAAAAATTTTGATTTTTCGTTTTTAATTTTTATTTACCTCATTTAAAGAGCTACAAAGAAAAAAAAAACCTTTCTCAAAGTTATTTTTTCTACTACCGTGCGTAAAGTACCTATACTACGCACTATTCAGAAGACGTGAAATTTCACTTCACGTACTAGTGCATAAAGTAATTCACTTCACACACTAGTGTGTAAAGTAATGTCAATGACAGATGCCGACACTGTCAATTTAATATTTTCTAGTACCTAAATTACTTCAAGCACTAATGTGTAAAGTATTTGTCTAAATCTATTTTTTTACACATTATTTGATTGGTAGTAGAAAAAAATTTGCATGCAATACGTGCGTAAAACACCTTTTTTCACTCATGTGACTGTCCCACTCCCCTTCAGCTCGTGCGTCAAAATTCACATTCGTGAAAAAAGGTTCACTTTACACACTTGTTGCATAAATAACTATTTTCTACTACCGTGCGTAAAGTACTCACTTTACGCACTATTCAGAAGACGTAAAATTCCACTTCACGCACTAGTGCGTAAAGTAATTCACTTCACACACTGATGCGTAAAGTAATGTCAATGACAGATGTTGACACTGTCACTAGTATTTTTCTGGTAAATTACTTCACGCACTAGTGCGTAAAGTGAAAATACTTCACGCACTAGTTCGTAAAGTATTTTTCTAAATCTATTTTTTCACACTTATTTGATTGGTAGTAGAAAAAATTTTGTATGCAATACGTGCGTAAAGCACCTTTTTTCACTCATGTGATTGTCGCACTCGCCTTCAGCTCGTGCATCAAAATTCACATTCGTGAAAAAAGGTTCACTTTACACACTTGTTGCATAAATAACTATTTTGTGCTCTGTGAAATGGTGGTACTAGATTTTAATCTCCATGTTTCGTCTATTTGAGACCCGCATCAACTTTTTATTTTTAAATACGATCGTGATTTTAATTTTTTCTTCTCCATTTTCGATTTCGTTACTACCCGTCATTCTGAATCGAGTTCTGAATGTAGTACTACATATACTAGCCCAGGGTTGATCTAATGCTTTATATAGGAAACCTTGAACAAATTCGAGACAAGCTGAATTTTGGTATGTAGCTTTGTTTTGGGATCCTTAATAAACCACCAAACCCCACCGGTAATCGTCCGTGCCTGTCACCCCGAAACAACACCTGTAAGGGGTGAAAATCGGACATTTTTAAATTTTTTGGCAATATCTCGAAAATAATTCTCGAAAAAATATGAGGGCAGAAAAATTAAGGAGCATAAAATTTCCTATAAAATCACGTTTATCAGTTATATTTTGCTCTACCAGTGGCGGATTTATGATATTTTTAATAACTGAATATGTATTTTGTAAAAATACTCTCTAGCCATGACCTAATAGATTTTTATATTACATATATCTAACAATATATCGTGTGCAGGATAAGTTGGGACCTTTGAAAAATGTTCTTGCCATGCACGCCCTCTCCGGATGCGATACCATTTCTGGCCTGTTTAACAGAGGAAAACGGCGTCGTCTGGCAAGGATTAGTTCTCGCTAAAACCGTCTGGCACTAGGTGCGTTCGATTCGCTATTGTTTTCTCTTCAATTTGAAAAAAAAAACAAGGTTTCGGCAAGTACAGTCGTGAGCACAAAAAGTGGGACACCCGACTGGCAGGTCTCGTCATATTTCGCTATTTTGCGTAAATCAGTCTTTTCTCTATAATCGATTTTCTGACAAATATGACAATCCCTGTCATTGCTGTAGGTATCTTTAAACCCGTGAAAACCATCTGGCATTATTACAGCCTTGTTAATGGCACTTGAATGATTTGCCGGAAACATTGACCATCAGCAAGTATTTTGAATATCGTGAATTTTTCAATGACTTATTAATTATGCCTACGCCAAACTTTCCCACTACATGCTGCCAGACTTTATTTTCGATCACTGAGCATA